TGAATTGCTCTTGATTGTCGTTTTCTAGGGCGCGATATTCCGCAAATCCACCGCCCGCTGCGCCAGAAAAGCGATATACATTCCGGTAGGTGATTCATTTGAGAACCTATCCGCATAGCTCGGTGGACCAAGGCTCAACTAGTGCTTTCTCGTTTGAAGGGATGGAGTATTGGTGGAAATATCGTCTGCCAGCGAAATGGACCAACCACGTCGAGGAGCGCCCCCTGTGACAAGAAAACGTAGACTTCCAGGATCTAACGAGGTAGAAGTTTGGTGCTGTTTGGTTCTCGTGGATTGAACTTCTGTTGTCTCTGGCAGTTTTTTATGTGCTGAACTAATTATTTAATTATTTATTTTTCGAAATTCAAATGTTTCCCATAATTGCTCCTAACACGAGGGGTTACTGAAGGCTTGTGGAATAACAGGTCCTAGGGGGGGGGGGGGGGACGAGTTGTTGAAACGGTGACAAATAAAGGAATTTCATCATAAGAAGCCTTGGCGGTACGGAAAAATTATATAAGCTAAATTTCCACCACTGCTGAGAATTTCTTGAGTTTGATCGATACCTACAAAGTAACGTTTGTTTTTCTTTCCGAGGAATTCCCTTTCCTTTTTTTTCCGAAGACTTTAGAATTATTGTTTGGAACCGCAATTTTACATGTACCATTGTCGCTTCACTATTGTCGAGTAGACAGCTGAAGCTGGGTAGAAGAAAAAGCCATATATGATTCAAAGTCCGTAGTTGCTTTAACTCCTCTTTGGGACTGAAAGACAGGATTGAATTGCATTCCTCACCGCCCCTCCCCCCGTTTCGTGCTTAACGACCTTCTGAAAGTTGTGGGCGGGCCAAGACACTTATTACATTTTCAGCGACACTATCAGTCCTCGGAGGATGGGTGGGCGGGAGGGGCTCCATGTGGAAGAGAAGGAGTCACAGCTATCATGGGAAGGGGTGCATTGGTCAAAATCTGCTTGACACCCGGCTCTCCCAAGGCGCAGATTGTTGGAAGGCGCCCATTTTGAGAGTAGCGGCAATTTTTTTTCGCTATCAAAGCAGCGGTCTTCATTCGGACGACCCAGCGTGAGGAAGAGGGAAATGTGAGAGGTAGAGATGAAATGTGGAGGCGCTCATTCCTCTATACTTTCTAATGTAATGAGTGTTTGCGTTTGGGTTTCAATTTTCCTAATGTCTTCAGCAGTTCAGTTCATCAGAAACGCTTTTGTGATACTTTTGGTACATATTATACTGTTCCAGGCAACCATACAATCGCAATCGACCCGGCCGGGACAGGAGTGGTCTGCAGTTCCGACATCAACGGAAAGGACAGATTCAGTCGCCACCACATCTGATGATGGTGGTGGCGTGCAGTTTGTTAGTCCTGATCCGGAGTCAATGCATTCTCCGACACCCAGTCCTACTCCATCTGCCTGTTATGAAGTTGAAATTAGCCCGGATGACACATCAGCGGCGCAGTCTATCACACCTGAAGGAAGTTCTTGTGTATCGGATGCAACGCAAAAGAGTAAGAGAAGCACACCTCGATTGCGAGACCAAGAAAGGGGGGCAAGCGCGAATGGAATCAGTTGGGACATTCCCGAGATGTCTCTTCGACCACGCGTTGTACCTTCACGTGATCATCCTTACGAAAGAACAGCGGACACTACTGGACCCGCCAGCCCCACAACGAGCACATTGGTGGTGGAGTCAATGGCAAAAAGGCTAGAGAAAGCGGTAGCAGCAGAACGACGATCGTACTCGGCTAGAGCAGTCCCGGGATCGAAAGAAGGAACTCCAACATCAGATTCCAATGGTCAGTTGTCTCTGTAGTTGTTGGTCAGGTGTTGTTCCTCTAAGTTAGCTGTCAGTAGGGTTTCCCTCCTTCATTGCTTGTAGAGGAGAACCTTTTCAAGTCTGTTTTCTTAACTCATTCGGATTTCATATGTTTAAGGATCGAAACCTACCTATAGACTCGCAGCGATCCCAAGAACTGCATCACACGTTCATCCGTTCGATGCCGAGTTAATGACGGTTGGTTTATTTGATCGTTATTTTTTTACTGCATGAATGTGGAAAGGAACTAGAGATTTTTAGTACTAATCAGGCAATATAGGTATTCAGTCCTGTTTGTGAAATTCATTCATCCCGATTGCTCATGGTTGTAGCGTTTCTTAATGTGTCCATGTCTCCTACCTAAGCCATTTTAACAGCATTATTTCCTTGAAAATTCTCATAAGTGACAGCATGCGTGCCTTTCGTCAGTAATGGGTTCGAGAAGTAAAAGTGAAGACGTTAACAGTCCAAAAGGAATTCAATGCAGAAGGAAATGGTGAAATAGGGCCTATTTACAGTAGCTGATTTTGAGGCTTCTTCGAGTTTTTATTTATTCACTCAAACGAAGATTATATTGTTTCGATGTGTCGTTTCATGCTACTTCTCCATAGAATAGAGGATGATTCTCTGTTGATTCTCTGGCTGTGGTTCTCTTCAGCCGGCCGTTTGATAGTTTCCGCATTCATGGTCGCCATTCGGTGATTACCTTTTCCTATCTATAATCTTTATTTCTCTGATACTTTCCTCGCCCACATCCATCTAACTGCTCTAACCGATGTATCTGGTATTTTGATGTTTTCTGACCAAGCATTGTACGATATTTACCTAGAAGAATTATACCTACTATCTTACGCATCATTCTTAATAGTACGACTTTCAACAACGGCACATACTTTTCTTCATACTCCAAGTTTCCAAAAAAAACTCACCGCGGAAAGCCGCCGTAAGAGGCCTGGCTATGTGCCAACACTTTTGGTCCGCCTTTTCCATCGATCCCCCCATTGCTAGCAAGATCGTGTTAATGGTTGCGTGGATCGTGTAGTTGTTTTGATAGTAGAGGAGCTGTTGAACTTGGTTCTTTGACCCGCTTCACTTCAATGCTGCCGCCTCCTGCTTTTGAATTCTGCCTGTTTCTTGGACAATCCTTCGTGTTTTTGTATCAGCCATTCAGAAACTGTAATGTAAGCTTGATGTGTATTCCTAACAATGGGAATTACTTGCAGATCTCCAGTAATAGTGGTTCTTGGTTAGCAAATTCGCCCGACTCGTCCGGCCCGTTCCTTTCTGATTTCAGGAGCGGACAGAGGGATTCTCTGTCTAAGGGCTTCACCGACGCTGCTCTTTGCTTCATTTTTATTTTCGCTTAACTCGGCATTCGCTATTTCATCATCGACCGCTTTTACCCCGTCGATTCGATATTGGATTGTTGCTTTGAAGACGACCATGAGACATGTAGCACCGAATTCGCTTCTTCCATATCTATTCAGCACTCTGGTCGGGCTCCCTTCTCGCTAAGTAACCCATCAGCGCCTTCTTTTACTAACTTTTGCGAAGCGATGCACCTCAGTTGGAAAAGATTTTTCCAGTCTGGGGATCTTTTAATATGTTTATCCTCAAAATATGCACGAACGTGGCTTAGTTTCTCGACGGTGAAACCTCATGGTGCCACCATCATTCCATATAGTTCTATTCTTTTTTGACTGCCATTTGACCTGATCGTTGTTTTAGGAAGAAAAACCTGTTAACCTCTTGAAAAAAGCAGAAGACCCTCCGAGCGAGTCAGGTACGACAACGTTCGCATAACCTTTCAGAATGGTTGTGATCTTATTTGATTTAGCGCCTCAAGCTCCAGTGGTTACTTCTACAAGTGTAGCTCGTCGAGTTTATGTTGTTGTGAGTTTTAATAATCTTTAACACATTGACGACCCAACGGGGCCCATATACGAGTTGCTTTTTTTCCATCTGAGTGAGAGCGTGCGGTTCTACGTGGCTCACGCCCATTTGAACCTTTTTTCGCACTTGCCCAACTTTTCTCAAGGCTTTTTGTTTTTGCTCTGAGCAGCTCACTCTGAAGGATTCTTAAGCGATCCACAAAACGGTTGGATATGCTTCGGTCGGCACAGAGGTAGTGGACCAAAGTTCTAGGCTCAATAAAATTCTTAAGTTTTAGTTCCTTCTTTGTTCTTTTCTTATTTCTAATGACACTTCAATGAAGTAGCAGTAGAAGTAAGTACAGAACTGCTATGAGGAGAGATTCTTTTTTGATGGTAATACATATTCAGGCCAAATACATTTTGACATCTATTATAACGAAAACTAATGAATTTTGCTGTTTCGTTTCTATCGCACGTACTTTTAACTGAAATTTTGCTGCTGTGCTGTTGTTGCTGAAACTATTTTTTACTCTTCAGTTTCTATATTAGTTTATAAATCACCATCCGGAATACACGCATGTGTGGTGAGGCGGCCACGCTTAGATCGCAGTGCTTCCACGTGACTGGAAAAAGTCAAAGCGCGCGCAGTCGTCGATGTGTTAGATAATCAAATAAAGTGCTCTGTCATGTTTTTTCAACAAAAAAAAACATTTAAGAAAGCAGCTGTCCCGCAACCTGCAGAAACTCCACAAAAGGAGACCGACCAATAAGCAGGGAAACAAATCACTTGGATGCAGTTCTGCAGTTTTTCTTTGACTTTTCATGTGGATGTGATCTACCGTAAAGATGTGGTCATGTACACTTTGCTCGCTGCATATGTATGCTCTTGTTTACTTTTTGTTCTTGTTGTTCGGAAGTTGTTAGTTTTTCGCCGTGTTCATTTATGGGAAGCGGGGAAATTTCCATAGACAACGCGAGGAAGCACGAAAATCTTCGCATTTGATTCAGTCCCCTTTTGAGAATGCCGTTGATTGCTTTTTTCTCTACATTAACCTCTGATACCTCGATTAGAGTTGTTAATAGATTTCAAATTACTGTTTCCCTTTATTGCTAGAAAATAAGCATCGCCAGTGTAGCAAAATTTTCCAGCTGTTGGTTCCCTTCCTTAGTGCGATGATCCTCAATATTATGTCTACATTCTGCATAACTTCCATTAGGTAAAGTGTGAAAAATGGAACTGCAACTCCATTATTATGTAAATATTATGCAATCGTTGTGAAAAATGAATAAAATGTTGTTGTTGCTCAGTTGGTAGAGCGGAGGATCGTAGAATCGCGGCAATCTTCAGATCGCTGGTTCGAATCCGGCTCGACGGATTGGTTTTGCAAACTTGCAGAAAGGGCCAATTCTTTCCTGTGGGGCCATTTGGCGCTCCTAATTACTTGTTTCTCAGCGCGATTTTCCTTGCCAACTTTGTTTCGTACATTTTGCTGGAAGCGTTGTGGGCGGCGCTTGGTGTGCCGTCGATAGCTCAGTTGGTAGAGCGGAGGACTGTAGAGTCGCAGCTATCCTTAGGTCGCTGGTTCAAATCCGGCTCGACGAATCGGTTTTGCAAACTTCCAGAAAAGGTCAATTCTTCCC